GGGGCTTTGGGCCCAAAGATGAGCATGGCATGGCCTGCACTTGAGAAGCTCACTTCCAGAGGGGAAAACCCAAGTTCAAACAACTATACCATAATTTACCAGCCTGAGAAAAGTGTTGTAAGTTGTAAATCCAGAATCTAATCTCAGCTCTGCCACCCACAAGTTGTGTGAAATGACCAAGTATCTTCACTTACAAAAGAAATAGCAGGGTCACTGTGGGGTCTGGAGATGGAGGTAAAGAATAATGTGTTCAGGACTGGGAAGGGAGGAAATCTTCCCTGGGACCCATGCTTTAGAAGATCCAGTATATCACAAACATATAGACACAAATTAATTTCTTCAAAAATGTAAAGTCAGTAATATATATATTACTGTTGAGCTGATTTTGACTCACGGTAATCCCATGTGACAAAAAAGAACTGCCCTATAGAGTCGTCTAGGCTATAATCTTTTACCAGGTTTTTCTCCCACAGAGTCACTGCTGGGTGGGTACAGCCCAGTGCTTAACCAGTGTACCACCAGGGTTCCTTCACACACACACACACACACACACACACACACACACACATTCATATACATATATATCATTGGTTCTGTTTCTCCAGAGAACTCTGACTAAGACAGTGAGCAAAGAGGACTGCCCTAAAGGAGCCCTCACATTTTAATGAAGAAGGCAGACCTTGATGAAATAAGTACAGACAGCAGTACACTATATCTGGGACAGCATCTGTGGTGGTCACAGATATACCACCCAGATTCCCCTTCAAGAAGGGACCTGTTGCTCCATCTTCTAAAAGTGTGTCAATGAACATTCTCAAAATAAGACTGCCCAGTCTTATTTAGTCTCTGAGAACAGAATAAAACCAAACAAACAATAAACCAGGCTCTGTGAGCCAGCATCCAATCTTTGTCCATCTCTCACAGGTGACTGGTTACTTTGTGTCTCTGCCTCTCCACAGATGGAGGGAGTGAGATATACTCTCTCAGCCCTGGGGATATTGCTGAGAAGGTAAAAGAGACGTATACACAGAAAACAAGTTAATAATTTGGAATGCAACCATGCTACATCACTTTTTCTAAGTTTGTTAATAAGGAATATGATTCCAAATGAAAGAAATAAAAAATATTTAAAAATATAACCACTTTTGAGGTTCATTTTGGGGTCAGGAATGTTCAAGATGATATTAGGATAGTGAGAGCCCCCAAAGACTCCTTGTTTTCAAAAACATTGCCTTGGTCCAAGTCTGCTCTCATTCTCAGAATAGCTCTAACTGTGCCACAGGTATTTCGGTGGTAAACCTGTGTGGGAGAAAGGGTTTAGGGGGAGAAAGTCCCACATTGGAAATGAGGTTCCCCCTTCCTCACTGTCCGGTACAGCAGGGACAGTGGCTCCTGGCCTCTATCCCTGCTAGCCCAGGGCACTGGAGTGTTCAGGAATGCATCCAGCTCCCACTGCTACCCTGCAGTGTGATTTCCTGCAGGTCCCAGACTGCCAGGAACACCTCTATGCTTGCTCCTCCTGATCAGGAAAAGTTTACACTAAATTCTGTTCTTGGCCACATACTCATAATTGGCCACTGGTTGAAAACAGGATGCATAAATGAAATATTAATCAATAAGGAAGATAAAGTGACAGTATTTGGCAAACTTGCCTTGAGATGCTCCTCACCTCATCTGTAAGCTCCATCCATCAGGGCAAAATGTCTCTAGTTCTTAACATTGTCAAAAACAGACTATTAAAAAGCATTCAATTCATTTGTCAGGGGGGGCTGGCAAGGTTCAAATTCTAGAACAAAGAGGCTCACGTTGCTGAAGGTTTAAGGAAAACATCATTGTGGGTAAAGGCTGGGATGGGTCCTGGATTAACATCCATTCCTTAACTGTCTTCTACCACCCATCTGCCAGTTCATCATACTGTGGTGGCTTTGCGTGTTGCTGTGATGCTGGAAGCTATGCCACTGGTATTTCAAATACTGCCAGGGTCACTAATGGTGGCCAGTTGCAGCAGAGCTTATAGATGAAGACAGATTAGGAAAAAAGGCTTGGTGATGTACTAGCAAAAATTTGCCACACAGGTGACGCCAGAACATCATCCAAGTTGCTTGCTTTGGAGATGCCATCAGCAGGCATCAATCACTGGAGGAGGGCATCGTGTTTGATGAAGTAGAGGACCAGCAAGGGCGAGCAAGCCCCTTAGTGAGATGAACTGGCACAAGAGCCACAAAACTGGACTCAAACATACCAGCAAGTATGGGGCTGATACAGAACCAGGCAATGTTTGGTTCTGTTGTGCATAAGGTCACCACGAGTCTGGTGCTAGGAGCATTTCTGGCTCTACCTTCTCTATGTGTCTCAAACTCCAGCACCAAGACCAGCAGGCTTCCCAGCATCACCAACCACTTTAAATGCATTAAATAGCCAGAGGATTTAAGTGTGTGATCTTAACAGCCAACATCAGCATTCCCTGGTGCTAGCCAAGTGAGTTAATACTGATTTTAAGTGACATTTGCCCATGACCCAGAGGCCCCCAGGAGAAGCTCTGCTGCATGCAGCAGTCTTTCAGCCGCATTTACTTGAGGGCTTCAAGGAAAAAAAGATGGGTCACACATGGGGGTTGAAGCCAGGCCAGAGCTAAAGAAATACTCTCAAAACATAAAATGGACAAGCAGGATTTCAGTTGAGTCAAAAGTAGCAAAGGCCCCTAGCAAAGGCTTTGGTTCCAAATTCAGAGAGTATGTGTTTGAATCAATCTAATCTAGATAGCAGGGGTCCAGGAGACTCTGCTGGCATCTGAGCTACACAAGATTAACAAGGAAAGCAGGAAAACATGGCCCGAGGGTACAACTCCATGAAATAAAGTCAGCTGGGAAAGCACAGTTCAGCCTCACAGCTCGTTTCCTGCCATGTATGTGGCAGAGTCTATTAGTTGCCCCTCTCAGTATCCAACCTCCTCTTCTTCTTTAGCAACCAACTCTGATTTTTACTGGGGAAGCAACTTGTTCAGCTGAAATAGATACTATATTGCAGCTTCCCTTGCAGTGAGATGTGGTCTTGTTCTTGCCAATGAAGTATAATGAAACAAAGAGAAAGGTAGTAGGGACTCCTGAGAAAGATGCTTAAAGGGTCCTAACTCAGCTAGAAGGAGAGCCTGTTCTGCCTTTTTATTCCCTCATTTCCCATTTCTTATTTTCTCATTTTGTAGGCCTATAAGTTGGAAGGTGCTAGCTGGAGCTCCAGCAGCCATTTTGGACCATGAGACATCCAAGAAGATGAAAACCACATGCTGAGGATGTAAAAGAAGAGCCAGGGTTCTTGACGATATTGTGGAGTTGCCATACCAGCTCCAGACTTCCTGCCCTCAGACTTCTTTTATGTGAGAGAAATGCCAGCCTCCTGGACAGTGCTAAATGAAAAAATCAAGTTCAATCCTAAGGGCATTGCACAGGCTGGCCCCTCTGTCCCCAGATATCCATCTGGTTCATTCTGTCCTCCTTCAGCTCCCTGGCAGAAAACCACGAACAACCTAAAGCAGTAAGGCCTTCTGTGACCACAAAAGGTGCTATTTGCAATGGCACCTACATCCCCCAGTGTTGCACAGAACTATCACCATCTAACATACTAGAAAGGAGCACAGTCGTTAAGTGCTTAGGTGCTAACCAAAAGGTTGGCAGTTCAAACTCACCAGCTGCTCCAAAGCAGAAAGATATGGCAGTTGGCTTCCATAATGATTTACAGTCTTGAAAACACTATAGGGCAGCTCTGTTCTGTTCCATAGGGTTGACTCAATGGCATACAACCACTGCCACCACCATACTAACAGTTAAGCACTTGACAATTAGGCAAAAGGTTGGTGGTTCAAAGCCATCCAGAGGCAACTTGGAAGATCACCTAGCAATCTGCTTCCAAAACGTCACAGCCTTGAAAACCTTATGGAGCAGCTCTACTCTGCACACGGAATGAATCAGAATCAACTCCTGACAACACTAGTCCCTTGACAACACTACCATACTAGAGCTCTCTTCCTTGTTTGTTTATTACCTGTCTCCCTCCACTAGAATGTAAGCTTCACAAGGGCAGGGGTTTGGGTTATTGTGTTCACTGCTGCATCTCCTGTGCCTAGAACAGTGCCTGGCACAGAGAAGGCACTCATTAAGATCTGTTGAATAAATGAATTGTACAAGCTGATGCATAGGCTCTGCACCCTCAGACATCTTCCCAGGCCAAGGCCATCCTTCTCCCACTGCAGTCATTAGGAACAAGGCTAGGACCGGGGTTGCCTGGCTGCAGTGGGTAGGAAGAGAGGAAATGGACAAAGCTCACTCTCCTGACCCTGAGGAGCTTACAGGGTGAGAAGAGCTAGTCCTCTGACCCTTTCCTGCCCAGGACTCAGGGGGTCTGCCCAGAGTTTTTCATGGATGACCCACCATAGGCAGCCAAGGCTGCCCCTTGTGTGTCCATCCATTGGTCACCCCCAAGGAATACATGAAGGACACCATTCTTCTTTCCATACTCCAGGGTATACTGGGAGCTTCAGATATCAGAGAAGAAAGCCCCACACAGACCCTCAGCCTCAGTAATAAAAAAAAGAAAATAATTAATGTCTGCCAAGGAAACTGCACATACCTTAACCTACTGGTCAAACTGAGAACACGAAAGGAGTGGGAGTGAGAAGAAAGGGAGAGACATTGCTTGGGGAACACTGAGCTTCTGCTAAGGGTGATAGAAAAATTTGGAAATGGATGTGATGATTAGTATAATTAATTCATTGAATTATACATGTAAAAAATGTTGAAATGGCAATATTTTTTTTTATATACATACTCACCACAATTAAAAGACAAACACAAACAAGAGGCTGTTGGTGCACTTAAAATAGTACAGAGCTTAGTGGACACAGAATAATGGCTTTGTTTATTATTGCATGAAGAACCAGGTCTAAAGCTACAGAGGGAGCTCTGGTTACTGGAGGGCTTGGACCTTCGTTTCCAGCCAAGCGAGCCTTAAGCTGGTGTGAATGGGGGCAGCACTTTCCCAGCACACTGGCCAAAGCCGATGCGGTAGCCTTCCCCTTGGCAGTATCCTGGAACAGAAAGGAGAGGGGTCAGCCACAAAGCCACTGGGCTCACCAGAACCAAGGCCCATGCAGCCACGGACCTCTAAGTGCACAGTTGGGCCAGAGGCAGGAAGGCACCATTAAAATGACAAGCACACATATTAAACAGAAGAATAATCCTCCCAAAAGCCTCCCAAAAGCTAGACAGAGCTTCCACAACACTTAAGTTGGACTTGGGGGCCCACTCTGACCTGTGGATGCCCTCAACAGCTTTCCTAGTGGTGGTCAACTCTGCCACATGGGTTTTAAAACCTCTGCTCAAGGTTCAAATCCTGGATCTTTCTGAGTTTAAAGCCTGGCTCCTCCACCTACTAGTCCCATGACCTTGGGCCCCTCAGTTGCCTCATCTGTGAAATGGATCTAATAATAGCATCCACCATCTAGGAACTGTTGTGAGAATGGTATGAGTTAATACACAGAAAAGTCTGAGAACAGTGCCTGACTCATGGTAAATGTCCAAAAAAATGCCATCTATTATATCGTTTATGAGCTGGGTGTTTGCAGGCAACTTGGTTCCCCTCTGAGCTCAGCCTCCTCATCTGCAAATGGGAATAACCATCCTTATCTCTCCAGTTGTGAGGATTAGACGAAAAATGAAGGAGAAGCTCCCAGTATGATATCATGTACACGAATGCTCAGCAAATGTTAGCTTCATTCATTCATGAAAGTCATGGAAAAGCACGGAGCCTGACCTTGTAAGGGAGAAGGGTCAGTTTAGTGAGAGGGCCAGACAAAAGTTACAGGGTGTGTGGTGTAGAAAATTATATGGTGTGGCTTTTCTAACCAAAGTCTTTGTAAACTACATGGTAAAATTTGCTGTGAACAACTGAGTAGCTCCTGATTGTTAAAGTTATCCACCTGGGGGTTGGAGCAGTAGAAGCAATCTTCTGGGAAGTTCACTCTCTCTCAGGTGTGTAGAACTCTGATGTTGGGATTGGTTGGTTTTGGCTACTCTGCCAGGCTCAAAAGGAGCTCTCCTAGAGGCAGGAGGAGTCTCCCTGATGGCCAGGTGAGAAAGATGTGCTGCTGAGAGAAACACACTGCTGAGAGCTGTGAGAGAGACTTGCTGCTGAGAGAGACATGAGAGACATGCACTGCGAGAGAGACTTGCTGCTGAGAGAGACATGAGAGACATGCACTGCTGAGAGAGATGTGCTATGGAAAGAGACTGAGAGAGACAGCCAACTGAGAGAGACTGAGCATGTTCCTGAACTTGAATTGTAGCCTGTTGGTTCCCTAATAAACCCCATAATTTATGAGTTTTGTGTGGCCACTGCAGCAAATTATCGAACCCAGCAGAGAGGTGGTGGGTGCCACAGGAGGAATGGTTGGCGTCAGGGTTGGTGAAAGGGCTGGAGGGAGGCAGCATGTCTGGCCTCACAAGAATAGGCCTTGGGCTGCTGATAGTGATTCTATGGGGTTAGAAGCGGTCAGAAGATGTAGCCTCTTTGCCCCTTTTCACAGGGCAAATGCCCACAGGTGCTGAGAGAGAAGTGTGGAGGAAACATTTGAGCTGGATATTAATGGTGGCTAGGAGTTCACTAGAGAGGATGCAATGAAAAGGGCATTCTAGACAGAGGGAATGGTATGTGGAAAGGCATAGAAACACAGCATGAGGTACATTTTTTAATGAGGAGTGCTTTGGTGACGCTGTCATGAGGGTACTCTGAAAGCCAAATTACCAAGGGCATTGTGAAGCCACTTCAAGGAATTTGAGCTTTATCCTGAAGACAATCAGATGGCACAGAAAGATTTTCAGCACAACACTGACACATTACAACTATGTTTTAGAGATTCTTTTCTAGTGGGCCTGGCAGAGTGGATGTCAGTATTAAGACCCTCAGACTCCTTAGGTTGGAACACTTCTCTAGGGCTCTGTGCATTGCTGAATCTAGATGAGGCCATGACCGGGGCAGTGCAAAGATGGTAACCAGGCCCACAATGGAAATGAGAGCCACTGCCAGGAATGCTCATGATCTTCACTTACATGGAAATGTCACCCAGGCCCCCTCATCTATTAGAGGTAAGCCACGATCTGGAGCTATGCCTTCAGCCACCCAGTGTGAAATGGAGGAAAAGATGATTCCAGCAACCAAGAAAAAAAAAATCAAACCACCCTGCTGAGAAGACTTACACCCATCTGAACATGGAGACCCCAGGCAAATTTGTGAGATGGCATTAAGCACACCCTCAACAAGAAACATCCTCAACAAGTGACATCCTCAACAAGCAATATCCTCAACAACTGACATTCTCAGCAGACCTTCCCAGAATGCACAGGGGAGAAATTCACAGGGAAGGTCCTCATGGCCACCTTTCCCCACCCCCAGGAGTGATATTCTCTGTCTGTGCTCTTCCTACCCCTCTCCACCATCCCAATCATCTAAACAGTCGTCCTTGCTTAAGGTCACGCTGACTTCTGGTCTTTTCTAGAAAAGCAACAGCTTAAACCCCACAGTATCATCTCCAGACGTTTCAGTTCTAGTGCCCATCAAGTCCTGAACCACCCCCCTGGCCCCTCTGGCATTAGGACACTCACGCCAGCCTCCCTGGCTGAGGCTCATCCCTATGACCTATGCACTGACTCTCAACACTCAGGGATACCATTTGTCAGGGTCAACATCCTTGCCTAGTCTATTGCTCAGTTTTATTACTTTTGTGTCAGTTACTTTAGAATCCTAATGCTCAGAAATATTTGTAGCCCTGAAAAGAAAACAAAAAACCCATTAAAGCAAAACCAACTCTTGGCAAAAATTCATTAATCATCTATCAAAATGACCAGCTCAGAACTGCAGCATTTTTATAAAGCCTTCTTCCTGGTACGCTGCAAACAGGATGCTCAGCTACCCACCCCACTGCCAGGTTCTCAACAGATCAGCATTAACTCCTTCCTGCTCCTGAAATTACAACAGTACAGCCACATGAAGAAGACAGAAACTGCTGGCTTCCAGAATGTGGACACACTATTACATCATTTCACTTCTCAACAAACCAGTGTGGTAGGCAAAGGTGGCCATGTTCTCTCCATTTTACAGTTGGCATGGAAAATGGCCTGGAACAGGGTCTATCAACCTTGGTGCTAGTGACCTTTTAGGCCAGCAATTCTTTATTGTGGGGACTGTCTTTTGCATTTTAGGACTGTTTAGCAGCAACCCTTGCCTTCACCCACAGGAGGCCAGTGGCATCCCCCTGGGTGTGACAATTAAAATTGTTCCACATGTTGCCAAATGTCCCAGGACAGGACAATCTGCTCCTTTGTTGGGGGTGGAGGAGTTATATCAAAATGAGCAGAGATATTTGTGTTGCTGTTGTATGTTTGTTTCACCTTCACTCTTGCTGAGTATCCCACAGTGTTTATACTGTCACAGAAATAAGGATCTTATTGTACCATTTAGAAAGACAAGATCCCATAATGGTTAAGAGCCTAAGCACCTGGATTCAAATCCTGACTCTACCCTTCACTTTCTATGTAATCCCGGAAAAACATAAATCTTTCTTGGCCTCAGTTTCCCCATCTGAAAAATGGGGATAATAATAGTAGCTACCTTGTCAAGAATGTAAAATTTAACACATGTAAAGGACAAAGGCTGCATGTGTCAGCAGATGTCAGCAGTCTGATTTCTATCCCATTTCCGGTGGTTAGAGATTGATTTGAGGGCCAGTCACCCATGAAGAGAGAGCAGGGAGGTGACAAGGTGGCAGCAAAGGCATCTGAGCAGGTACAGTCAGAGAGGTAGGAGGGGAGCCAGGAAAGAGCCACAGAAGTTGAAAGCATGTTCCAAACAAGAGACTGGCTCAATAGGGCACACAGTTACAGACACTGCTTAGCTATAACCAAACACCTTGTGGGACTGGATTCTGGGTTTGAAGAATTAGGAAAAGTCTCATGGGGTATCTCAGTCAATTAGCAAAAGATAGCTCATAAAGTTATGTTCTACATCCTAATTTGGTGAGTAGTGTCTAGGGTCTTAAAAGTTTGTGGGCAGCCATCTAAGACACAACTAGTGGTCTCCACTCATCCAGAGCAAAAGAGAAAGAAGAAAAACAAAGGCTCAAAGAAGAAACCATTTTACACAACAAATAGTCTATATGAACACAGCCTCATCTATTCAAAGACCAGAAGAAGCAAATGGTGCCTGGTTACCACTACTACTGATCGTTCAAATCAGGGCCACAATAGATGGACTCAGATAGAATGGGAGAAAAATGTGTAACAGAATCTCAAATGCCTAAAAAAATTAAATTTAATTTAAAAATTCAGATCTGCTGGACTAATTGAGACTGGAGAACTCCTGAAGCTATTACTGTGAGATACTCTTCAAACCTTGAAATGAAACTAATCCCTGAGGTCACTTTGTAGCTAAATAAAAATAATAAAAAATAAAAGTAGCTACTATTATTATCCCCATTACTGTAAGTACTGGGCTCTTTAAATGATCGTCTATATGAGACCAAATGGTCAAAAAATTATTTTAAAACAAAGATGAGAAGGTAAGGGAGCAGGGAAACTAGATTAATGGAAGTGGAACAACCAGAACAGAAATAATGAGAATGCTCACCCATTGTGAAGAACATAAGCAATGTCACTGAACAACTTGTGTAGAAGTTGTTGATTAGGAACCTAAACTGCTTTGTAAATTTTCACTGAAAACACACAAAAGATATTATTTTAAAATAATAATAAAAAAGGAGGATGGCTCAGCAGTGCCAGTGTCCAGAGAGGTCATGGAAGGTGAGGCCAGAGCAGTCCAACAACTCTAGCTATCTCAAAAAAATCAGCTGACACTCTAATGCTATCTGTCCATTTCTCTACTTACCCCTCTCTTTTCCACAAGAGCACCCAGATCTCAGGTACATCCACTACTTAGAGTTTTCTTACGGTTCTCTTCTATATGAAATGCTCTTTTTTTTTCCATTCTATTAATATATAATTTATGCTTCTCCTATCATGAATTATAATTCTTCAT